TGTCAGAGTCCTGTCTCTAGGGTATTCTAAACCCTATCCAATTGACTGTCCCAATCACGGTGGAAGCTGGATGGATAATAGCATTAGGAGGAACCTGAAAATGATAGGAGGAGTGGTTTGAGCCCAGTAGTAGGCATTCGTACTTCTGAGTACCAGCTAGGCACATTCATTTATGTCTGAAGCTGAGAGGAGAATGTCTTGACTCACTGTGGCTGTGATGGTCTAGAAACACATCTGGAATGTGACTGTGTAACATGACTGTTAAAGCTTGGTGGGTTGTGTCTGCAGGAAGAGAGACCTGAAGTACTGAATTGTGGAGAAATCAAAGGCCTGTTTTAGAGGTCTAGGAGGGCGAGATGGAAGTGATAGGACTGGTGAGGCCTGTGAATAGGCCTGCTGCACTTGAACAGAAGCTCCACTAGAACGGAAGTGGGAAATAAAACAAATGTGTATTACAGTGTTGCCTTCAGTTATCACCAGCTGTCCAACTGTTTACTTTTCTGTTGCTGTGATGAAACACTGACCAAAAGCAACTTGAGAGAGGAAAGTGTCTTACCAGCTCCAGTCCATCATTTAGGGAAGCCGGAGCTGGAACTCAAGGCAGGAACCTGGAGTCAAGAACTGAAGAAAAACCAAATGGACAAGGCTTCCCCCACCTCCTGGCTCATTCAGCTTGCTTTCTTATATAACCCAGGACTATCATCAGCCCAGGGATGGCACTCCCACACTATCATTAATCAAGATAATCCCCTGAGGGTATGCCCATAGGCCAATCCACAAATTTGGGGGTCAAGGAACAATACCAAAGGTTAAAAATAGCTTGTCACCAGCATGTCCTTATCAAAACGGAGGATTTAGAGCTTTTTAGTTAGTTGTTGTCTTTTAATAAATTTAGACATAAAATTAAAGTCTATATCAGTATGACTGGCTGTCACTTGACATCCAACTTTGCTTAGACCAAGAAAAGCATTCATCACTAATTATCAACTTCTGTAGTCTAGGCAGGTGTGCTTGTTAGCTTACGTCAACTTGACACAAACTACAGTCACCTGGGAAGAGGAAATTGCCTCCATGAGATTGGCCTATGGGCATACCCTCAGGGGATTATCTTGATTAATGACAGTGTGGGAGTGCCATCCCTGGGCTGATGATGGTCCGGGTTATATAAGAAAGCAAGCTGAATGAGCCAGGAGGTGGGGGAGGCCTTGTCCATTTGGTTTTGGAATGATCTGTAACCCAATGATGGTCCTACAGTAATCTTAAACAGGTCATTGCATTGTTAATAATAAATGGTCCAATTTATTTTTTAAAGTAGTCATTAGGGTTAAAACACCCCTTGTGGTCTCTTGCATTTTGTTAGTCATTTGAAGGAGGTGGAAACATGGTCCTGTGAGCCCCCTACCGACAGAATGCAGCATTTCATCTTTGGTGACTTGGAGATTGATACCAGTTAGTTAGGACCAATGATGAAGAATGGAATAGCATTTCGCTTGGATTTAAAATACAGAGAATAGAAGAGGAACTGCACAGTAATCATTCCCCACAGCACACTACAGCACTTTGTCCCTTTTGATATAGTCTTTAATGTTTTTCTTGGTTAGCATACGAAGAAACAGATTTCATTGTGACATTTTCATATGTATTATTATGCGGTTTTTCTTATTTACCTCTCACCACCCTCCAGCATCTTTCTTCTTCCCATCTTGATTGTCTCTTCCTTCTCTCCAAATACTTCCCTTTCCCAATTTTAGGAATGTTTCTACTTTATCTTTTAATTGTGTGCGTGTGTGAACACACTTGTGCCATGGTGGACGTGTGGAGGGCAGCTATTGAGGGAGAGGGTGGCAGTGATTCTCTTCACTTGGTTGAGGTTAAGCTTCTCAATATGTCTGCAGTACTATATATTCCAGGCAATTCTCCTGTCTCTGCCTCCCATGTGCACCACTGCATCTGGCTTTTTGTTTGTTTAAATGTGGGTTCAAAGACATCATTAGGCTTTCACGGCAAGGTCTTATACCCACTAAGCTGTCTTGCTACCCCCTCCTTTCATGACATATGTTATGAAGTCTTTTTAAATTTTATTTGCATATTCTACCACAAGCAAGTGTTCCTTTTTATTTCCATTTGAAGCATGCTATGGGTAATTAAATTAAATAAAGATGAAAATTTTATGAAACAGTAAGAAATGCAGTTACTCAGTAAACTTGTATGTGCGTGTAAACAAGTAGACATGTCCAAGTGTGCATTTGTGTGGAGCCCGGAGCTTGATGCCTTGTGTCTTCCTAACCTGGACTGACTGATTCTGCCTGACTAGCCAGGGAGCTCGAAGGATCCACCTGTCTGTGTCCCCTCCTCCCCCAGGTCTTGTGTTACAGGTGTGTACTTGTACTTAGCTCTACTAGGCACCAGGAATCTGAACTCAGGTCTCTGTGTTTGTATAACAAGTACCTTTTAGCCATTTCCTCAGCCCCTCCCCTAACCTTTTGTGTTTATTAAAGGGTCTTAATTACTGGACATAGTGCCACATCTGTGACCCCAGCTCTCAGGAGGCTAGGGCTGAAGAATCACAAGTTCAGGGCCAGCCTAGGCTATGTATCAAGACTGAGTCTCAAAAAAGAAAGGGGAGGGGATTTAGATGAACAAAAACCACTAAAAACAAAAAGGAGTTTGTTTTTTTATATTTATTCTGAATAGTTGAAGAATGAAGTACTAGTTAAATAGATATTTTTGAATAGTGAAGATATAAGCCAAAGGATTAGAATGTAAATTGTTGACCAGTTGCTTTCATGTCGAGGTTCAGGGACAGGAATGTACGAAGCAGTTCGAGGTAGGCTCAAGTTTCCTCATCCTGGGTTGAAGTCTGTTTCTACATGAGACTTTCAGGAAAGTTTTGTTGGAGAATAAAGTTTCTAGGGCATGTCCTAACAACTATAAGAAAATATCTTGATTTTTCTAGATCAATGTAGAAGATACTTCTAAAACTCCATTGTGTGTGTGTGTGTGTGTGTGTGTGTGTGTGTGTGTGTGTGTGTGTGTGTCTCTCTGTGTCTCTGTGTGCTTGTGTGTGTATTATTGAATGAAATGTATTTGGTTAAGGATTGTAATTATTTGCCTCAAGATAAAGTGAACCACAGATCCTTTTCTTGCCAGGTTATTTTATTTCTACTCATATTAACTGGGCAGTTTCTTTTCTTTTTCTTTCTTTCTTTCTTTTTTTTTTTTGAGACAGTTCCTCTAACAGTGTTTTCTCCCTCCCTCCCTCCCTCCCTCCCTTGTTTTTGGCTGTCCTGGAACTCACTTTGTAGACCAAACTGGTCTCAAATTCAAGAGGCATCTCTCTCTGCCTCCCTAGTGCTGGGATTGAAGGCGTGCATTACCATAGCTGGCTCAGTGCAATTTCTCAACAATCAGTCCTCTCATGGTTTGTAAAAGTCATGCCACCTTAAGTAGTAGAAACGATGCAGCAAACACAGTAACTGAACATTTCCCAGTTTCACCACCAAGACAACAGTACTTTGAACCATCACATGGAGTGCTAAAAGAAATCTCAGAAAGCTGGAATGTTCTGTTTGTCATTGTAGCGATGGTTTAGAGGTTGTAAGGATTTCAGTTTAGAAACTGAAAAACTGATAGGCATAAATATGACCAGGATGACACTTTGGTTTTGGATGTAAGCAGGGACTTACAGGAGTATTCTTTTCTGGAAATAACCACCATCTTGAAACGGTCTGATGCCTGGTCATTTCCATCTGGAGTGTGTTACTTCAGTCAAGTTCATAACATTGTGGACTGATTGTTCTTGGTATTCATGCTAGCTTAACAAAATAAAATTCATAACCCATCAAGCATCTAATTGTGAGATTTAGTTTTCCCAACTTTCAGCCATTTTAGCCAACTCAACATTATTATTATCATTATTATTATTGTGTGTATATGTGCGTATGTATGATGTTTGTACATAAATGCAGGCATGCTTATGCCAAGGTTTGTATGTAGAGGGTAGAAGACCATTTTGTGAGGTCTTTCCATATATCCTCTTATGTGAACCTGGAGATTTCATCAAGTTGCTAGGCTTAGGCAGTAAACACCTTTAACCACTGAGCCATCTCACCAGCTCTAATATGATATTTATTGTCCGTACATGTGCATCCATGGTGGACATTCATATGGAGGTAAGAGAGCAACTTGTGGAAGTTGGTTCTTCTGCTGTGTGGATCCTGGAATAGAACTTGGGCTCTCAGGCTTGGTGGTAAATGCCTATGCCAACAGAGCCTCCTTGTGACCTGATTTTTTTTTCAGATTTATTTATTTATTCATTTATTTATTATGTGTGCAGTGCTCTTCCTGCATGTATACCTGAAGGCCATTAGAGGGCACCAGATCTCATTATAGATGGTTGTGAGCCAATATGTGGTTGCTGGGAATTGAACTCAGGACCTCTGCAAGAGCAGTCTGTGCTCTTAACCTCTGAGTCACCTCACCACCCCCAATGCTTTTTAAAGCAAACTTTTAACTGGTTGTTTATTCATCTGTTAATTAACACCAACTGCTAAGTGTAATTTCATGTAGCGTCTTGAGTTCTGAACCTTCCATTTTCACTGGCACGGAAACGGATGAGACTAGTATGCTAGTCCACATATATGCTAGTATCTGCTGATCCACAGGTGTCCAGTGGCTTTCATTGCTTTAGATTTAGTCTGAGACCCTAGAATAGAACTAACTTGTCATTGGGTTAAGTGTTTGGAGAGGCCATGATACGACTTGGGTGTCTTAGTAGTTCCGTCGGCAGGTGTGTGGTTTTAAAACATCCAGAGGATCAGTTTTCCCTTGGGTTCTGTTAGCTGGGAGTGGAGAGAGTGGTATGTGTTGAAGACTGTGGAGAAAGAATGCTAATCTTCTGATGACTTTGATCTACTGGAATAGGTACAAAGTGTTTTATGTTTGGTGAGCAACCCTTTGTGGCATCTGAGTGATTCCCTTTCCCCATGACTCCTGTATAGGAAGCGGCCCTCTGCCGACAGCTCCCCATGGAAGAGACCATGGCCTCTGTCAACCCACCTGCCATGACCACGGATATGAGGTCCATCACCAATAATAGTTCAGATCCATTCCTCAATGGGTAAGTTCACACTGGGGACCATTGACTGTTGCTTTCTGGCCTATGGTTTAGGCTGTATTGGGGTGTTTGTTTACATGGAGAAAAGGCAGGGTTCTTGAGGGATGGGGAGAGTTGGGGAGAGCTGACAGAAGAGAGAAAAAGGAAGCTTTTAAAAAAATTTCAATTTCAAAACCTAGTCACATGACATTGAGTATGTCCCTCAGTGATTTGCACATGAGGATGAACTTTCAACAGGACAGTGCTATTTGGTAATCACTTGTAAGCATCTTGACATTCTTGGGAGTAAGTAAGGGTGAGGTTAAAAGCATGCCATAGCAAATAGAACAAGAAAAGTCAGAAGAATTTATGGTGAAAAGTGAATAAGGTTTAGAGTTTTGTTACTAGTGTTAATTTTCTGCTCTGATGATGAAAACTGTTTCTAGGGAGCCAGGTGGGAGGTACGTAAAAACTACTTTCTTCTTGCATGTTGGTGTGAGTTTTACATTATTGATTAATTAAGAATTAATTAAAACAGAGATGTTGGCTTTAAAAGAGAAAGAAAAGTGGTTGACTTAGCCAGAAGTATCTGAAGGATAGAAAGTCAACCTTAATTGTATACCTCATGGGAGCGGGCATTGTGTTTCTGCTCTTACCAAGGCTCCTGGCATGCAAATGCAAATGAAGATAGAGGTGAAAAAGCAAGTAGCCAAAATAATGAATGAATGGATTTTTTGAAGTGGTTTATTTTAAAGAATAGAAAAATATAAAGAAAACTGAGGTACCATCCAGGCTTGTTATATTTCAAGCACTGTTTGAGCCCATCTCTACACCACTAAGTTTCTTTCTTCCCTTCATTCTTTCCTCAGGCACAGCCACTCTTCAGAAAGTAGTGTGTGGCCATCACAGTTTACTTTGCTATTTTTCTGGATCCCTTTTCCCTAGCCTCTTGTGTGCTGGGATTGTAGGCATGGCCCACCATGACTGGCTACATAATACTTCTTTTACCATTAATGAGTATATCTATGATCATTATTCAGCACTAATTTTTTTCTGGTTTTTAAATTTCACTTAAGTAGGATCATGTACCATAATCTGTACTTAGAATAGGGTTAAATGGTTATTTTATTCCTTCACTCCTTAAGATCAGGTTATACATCTGAAAATTAATGGGCCCAGTAGAATTTTCTCCCTTTCATTGACTAAGTTCTGTGGCTGCATCTTTACTGTGATCTTTATTTAGTGGACTCATGTTAAGGTCTTCACGTTTATTTATTTATTTATTTATTTATTTGTTTGTTTATTTCTCCGTAGAGGGCCTTATCATTCAAGGGAGCAGAGCACAGACAGTGGTCTGGGCTTAGGGTGCTACAGTGTCCCCACAACTCCAGAAGACTTCCTCAGCAACATGGACGAGATGGACACAGGTGGGCTCCCAGCCTGCAACTATCTGCAGTGTGTTTTCATTTTCAGATTGTCCCCTTGGTTATTGCAGTCCTAAAGTCCAATGGGAATCACAAACCCTGAACATAAAACGAAAGCTAAAAGCCCACTCAATGCACAGGCACTACTACTTTTCAGGGCTCATGCAAATATGACTTCATAAGGGTGTGGGCTTGTAAGACCCAACCCCCATCCAATTTAGTGTTGTACCTCCTTTTAGTTGTAATGAATAGTCCATGCTTTCCACTGGGATTTATACTATTGTTGGTTCTCTGATTGTGTTGACCTTTTCATGTTACTTTCTGGTTTGGGGAAGGACTAACAGTAGGTTTAGCTGGCAACCCAGAGGACTCTAATTGTCAGCTCTAATTTCTAACATAACACCTCCTTCAACAATTGACAAGAAGACAACCAGGTTGACTTTTGTAGTCCCAGCCTGTGCATCCTATAGAGTAGACATGTCCAAACTCCTGGGATTGGAACATGGCATTGTCATCTGCTAAGTTCACATTTGAGACCTGCAGAGCTGGAGAGATGGCTCAGTAGGAGCAGAGGAGCAGAGTTCAAATCTCAGCACCCACATAGCAGCTCATAACTGCCTGTAACTCCACACGAGTGTGTGTGTGTGTGTGTGTGTGTGTGTGTGTGTGTGTGTGTGTGTGTGTGTGTGTGTGTGGGTGGTGGGATTTTTTTTGTTTCTTTATTTTGCTTCCTTGAAATAGCCTCATGAGGTGGTTCCTTCTGATGCTGTTTACTTTCATTTTTTAAACTCTGGGAATCCAGTAAGGGTAAAAAGCAAAATTAAATAATTCGAGAGGGGTGGGCACCCCAGGAGACATTAAAAAGATTCATTCGCTCTTATAGGTTTCTAAAATAATGTCCAGTGGGCAAATGGGGAGTGCTTTTGAAGTCATAGTACACAATTAAATGGTATCTTGAAAAGAACACAGGCAAAATTCAGCCTGAGTTGAACCTTTGTTTCTCATTCTGTGGTTCTCTGTGGAAGCTCTGTGGGCCTCAGCTTCTCACCAGTGAAACGAGAATAATGTCCCCACTTCTGCCTCTCCATTGAAGAAGGCTATTGAAATGGATTTGATAAACACTGTGGTTCCTTTTAATCTTGTCAAATGAGTGTCAACTCATTGAGTTCATTGCCACCTCTGTGAGATGTTTGTAAGAAATGGGCATAAACTGCTAAAGAGTTGTATAATATTTAGTAATGCTTAGTAATTAACTGAGGGCAGGTGGAGCTCAATGGTGACTAAAAAAGATTGTTGGATCTGCCAATCACATTGACCACTTGCCCAGTAGCAAGTCGGCTGAGAACCCTCCCCCTTTGCAACAAACACATCCAGCTGAAGATTGAACAAAGGAATAGTAACATAATAAGCAAAGGCTGGGCAGTCACTCATCCTTCCAGAACGTTCCATGAAAATCATACCTCTGGAAGAATTACCCCCCCTTTTTTTTCCTTAAGTGATGAACTTAGTAGCTAAAAAACGACAAAGATTTAAAAAGACCACAATGACACTGTAGAGTCAAAAGAAATACTTTGAGATTGTTAACCTTGATGAAGAAGATTGACTTGTCAACTCATGCTTTCATTTCTGCTGAGAAAGAATAGGAAGAATTCTTTTAAAAGGAGATTTTGTTTGGCTAAAATACATATTCTCAGAATTAGGAGATCATAATGAGATTTTGAACTGTTAAATTTTGTGCATGTGTGTTCCCGTGTGAGTTTGTATGTACCACATGTGTGCAGGTATTTGGAGGCCAGAGGGCATCCGATTTTCTGGAATTGGAGTTACAGGTGTTTGTGGGCTGCTTTGTGGGTGCTGGGAATTGAACTCAGAACGTCAGAAAGAGATCTTAACTGCCGAGCAATCTCTCCAGCACCTGTAGTGATAACTTTAGCAGATAGATGACACAACCTTGGATGTGGCAGACACTGTGTTTCTTTATTCCAGTCTGGGCAGAAGACCCTGTGATCCCCATTTCCAAGTAGTAAAAAGAGAATGAGAAAAGTTAGTGTACCTAAGGTCATACAGTATGAGGAATGACATCAGGTATTTCCTCCCATAATACTGTTATGTAAAGACCATAATCTCAGTCAAATACCAGATGCTTACCTTTCTAGTATTTTCCTCAACCACCAGGACAGCCAGAGCTACATAGGGAGACCCTGTCTCAAAAAAACAAAAACAAAAACAAAACAAAACAAAACAAAAAAACAAAAACAACACAAACCCCCCCAAAACAAAAACAAAAAAAAACCCAAAACACAAACAAACAAAAGAAGTTTAAATTTAAAAAAATTAAGAAGGAAGTAACTTGCATGAAGGAAGTAACAGCTACCCTTCATTCTATTACAGGAGAAAATGCCAGTCAGACACCCATGGCAGTCAATCCCCAGCAGACCCGCTTCCCTGATTTCCTCGACTGCCCTCCGGGAACCAATGTTGACCTAGGGACTTTGGAGTCTGAAGACCTGATCCCTCTCTTCAATGATGTAGAGTCTGCTCTGAACAAAAGCGAGCCCTTTCTCACCTGGCTGTGATCACTACCATTGTAAAGTGATGCAGCTGTGACATTTCCTGGGCCTGTGGAACAAGTGACGGAGGAAAGCAGGTCCGCAGTCGCACCGCTCTCGGCCTCCGTACTCACACTCCTTCTTGTCCACACGGCCAGCTAATCATTGCCTGGTTTTGATTTATAAGAACTTAAGTTACGCATACATATTCTCTTTCCATTTTCTGCAAGCCTGCATTCTGTGACAGCACTGATTATGCAGAATAACTTCTTAAAAATCCCTGCTACCCTATGGCTGAGCTTTTTTAAGAATTAGCTGAAATTCATATATCAATTGATTCTAAGCCATAAAAGCTGACCACAGGCAGTGAATTCTGACAGGCAGCTTGGTCCAGGAAATGTGCACAAAGACCTGATTTACAGTTTCAAAAACTGTACTGGTAACCGTGGTAACAAATGCTTTAAAACTTATTTAACTCGATCTTTAAAAATCATTGTATAGATAGTAAATTTCTGCTGCACGGAATGCAGTGCAGTTTGGAATCCATGCTGGCTGTTCTCATTCTGTATTTACAAGGGCATGGAGTCCTAATGCTATCACTCTTCGTCATTTTACTGCAGAGCATCCAGCAGCTCGGTCCTGCACGCAGAAAGGTCACTGAAGCGTTTGTCACAGGTCTTGCATGACAAATGATGTGAAAGAGACCAGTTTGGTACTAATAAGAACAGTTATGAAACAAACTATTTTTTAATTGCAACTTGTATTTTTGCAAAATGCAGCTTAGAATTTGATGTCTGTTTTATGAAACACTGTAATTTTGTGGCTTATGACAAAGGGCAGCCAAATGTTTTTGATACATCAATGGCAACTATATTTTTTGTCTTTTGACCTGTTCTGAAACCATCAGGGCAACAGAGATCTCAGCCTGATGACATGAAAATTAGCTGTTACGTTTTATATTCTGAGGCATTATCGGTTCTGCTTTCCAGATTTCAAGTGCTTAAAATAATTCTGTCTACAGAACTGTTTGTAGAAGGAAGCAGATCTCTGACTACAAATACAGAAAAGCCCTGTCAGGGCATATCGTATAGATCTGTACTTCTGAGCTGAGTAAAATTGATTCCTAAGTATGTTATCCTAGTCCTTTTGCCAAGTTGGTACAAAAAGGCATAAGGTGTGTACTCAGTACCTCTTATGTAACCAACTTTTTTTTTTTTTTTAAGCTCTTAAGGACTGAGAGTAGCATGTTCATTTAGCAGGCAGTCTACCTGCACTAGCAATGAAGTCCTTGGCTGTTTATTATTGTGAACTGACATTATTTATAATCTATGAATTTAATCTCTTTTTTATTTTTTGAAAGACATCAAGAATCTGGGAGGAAGGTTTCAATTTCCACGAGGGTGAGGGCTTTTTTGGTTGAGGATCTTTAATGAGATCCCTTTTGGTCCATTGGAATATAAATGCACAGAGTACATTTGGTCTTGGTGGGAAGAGGCAAGTGAAAGGTCAGAGACGAAGCTGTGGAATATGGCGTAAAGGCCAGTTGATGGGAAATGAACCAGACATGTCGGAACCCCTCAAAAGCAAGGCAAGCAAGACGGGTGAGAAGTGCCCCAAAGAACAAAGCAACGATTTTCTCTCGCTCACAGCCTTTGTACCAAAAGACCCTGCTGCCCGAGAGAAGAAAGTTGGGGAGCACTTTACTGGCGTGGGGCAGAAGGAGGAACGGACAGGGCTGAGGCACTCTGGCGCTCTGTCTTGTTGAACATGTCAGCTGACAAGAGCGTGGGCCACTGTTGCTTCCAGCACTCTTAAGTGATTTCTCTTTTCCTGAAAGAACCCAATTAATGTCCAGTTAATTCCCTGCTCTTTCTGAGCACCCAGAGGTGAGTAGGGATTTATGTTGCTATTAGGTTGAAAGGGAGCACTCTTCCATTTTCTCTTTTGTTAGCAAAAATTGCAAAAAAAGAGTTGTACATTCTTTCTGAGGAAAATCAAAAACAAACCAAAACACAAGGGACCTAACAAAACTCAACAGTGTTACTGTATTTAAAAATATTTTTATACATGCATTTCAGGTTATTAAATGTAAAAAAAAAAGATACTCCTGTTTTAAAAGTAGTTAAATCATTGATGATTTATTTTACCAAGTTTTAGAAGCAATTTTCTAATAAGCTTGTGGCATTATGAAATGTTAGAATAATTTTTTTAGTAAATTAGTTTAAATCTTTTTAATGAATATTGTATTTTTCTAGAATAAAATATGGCCCCTGACTGTTTACTAATAGATAAAATCCAGTTGTAATTTCTGTTGTTCTTTTTAAGACCGTAAAATGTGGCTTTTGTTAGAGAGAGCTAAAGCTAGACATCAGAATCAGACCTTTTTTTCTCTAGTTCTGATTGAACTCAAGATTTCATGTGTGTTAGTTAGACAAGTGCTCTGCCGCCGAGCTCCATGCCAGCCCTAGAGCAATTTCTCAAAGGTTCTTTAGTATTGCTATAAGTAAGTATTAATACTCTCTAAGAATTCATAATAAGGTGCTACTCATATACTATCTCATACTATAAGACAACTGTCAGACTATCTAGTCTTCTTAGTCCTAAATGAATACATTTTACCATATCATCTCCAAATTTTGTCATAGAATAGGCAACTTTAAAAAAAAAAATGTTTTTCCTGAGAAGATACACCTTATTGAAGCATTTAAATAGTGAAAACATCATGTTGTCTTGTTAACATTGGGTGATTTCTTAGGCAGTGTCTCACTGTAGTATCTAGGATGTAAGATGTGTTTCTTTCAATGATTTCCCAGTGTGTGAGAAGCACATAAAACAGAACAAGCTGTAGCATTCTGGGCACTGCTCAGCAGAAGGGAATTTGCGGAAGGTGACTTGAAGTGATGGACGTGTCACTGAGTACTGTGTTCTTGTGATGTAATTAGAAGCAACTTCTGAAAGGACAACTTTTGGAAGAAAAAAAAAAAGCCATTCCCAAAAAAGGAAACTTTAGATTAATTTACTTGGGAAAATGGGTGATTGACAGAGACCATTTCCATGACACTATTATACACATGCTAATACTTTAACTTAATTTTTTTTAACATCTGCTTTTTATCAAATGAGACCTGCGTTGTTGATTTCTAATCCAGTATGTTCTGCATACAGAACATACAGAATATACAGTCAAATCCATCAAGTCAAACCATTTTATCTGGAGTTTGGTACAGGTTTTAATTCTCAATTCTGTATAAAAAATAAATGCAATTGAACTTCCACCTCAGCCTTTGTCTCTGTCATGTGGTGTGGTCATTTACTGAGGGCTTTGGGTGCAACTGGAGAGGCTTCTGTAACCCCTGGCAGATGATGAGAAAGGCAGGGAGACAGATTCTGTTTCATTTGATGTACTCACTAAGACTTTTTAAAGGTGTGTATTTAAAAAACAAACAAACAGGGGCTGTGGTGGTGCACACTTTAATCCCAGCACTGGCGAACAGAGGCAGGCAGATGTCTGTGAGGCCAGCCTTGTCTCCAGAGGGAGTTCCACAGCTAGGGCTGTTACACAGAGAAACCCTGTCTCAAAAAAATCAAAATAAAATAACAAACAAATCCTTACTGGCCTTCCAGTACTTTCATCAAAATTATGTTTTTAGCAACAGGGTGTGCCTTTTTCCATTGTTATAAGTAAACACAATGCAACACGACACCATTAGTTCTGAATCCGGGCTCTTGCTGTTAGACCTTTGCTTCTCATGGGTACTGTGGTTCCCTCCATCTACCCGCTTGCAGTATTGCGGGCTAACCCAGCTATCTGTCACCACCCCAGAAACTCTTAGTGCCAGTTTTAAACAGCTTTTCAATATGTTTCTTCATGTGTTTTCTGTGCTGTACTGAGGATTAAAGTTGAAGTCTTGCACGTGTTAGGCAAGTGTCCTGCCACCAAGCTGCACCCTCTAACCCACTTACTCACTTTTAAGGTTTTAAGGTCTTTTTGTTAAAAATACTGAGTACCAGCATGTATGGAGCTCAAATAGTAAATGATTTGTATACCCCAAATCTCAGATTTTTTTAAAAAAATATTTTGTTTTTCCCTATAGTATAATTTAGGTTTTTTTAAAAAAAGAGAAAACAATCATACATGATGTTTGGCACTTCCAATTTTGCTTAGCATTAACATGACACTGTTAATATTTAATGGGCATTTACTACATGCTGACATGTTACAAAGCACTGAAGAATATTGTCAGGTTTCATCTGTATAATAGCAGTCAGTCCCTTTCCAGCATCTACATATTGTTGTAGATGAAGGTATCACTTTTCGAAGCAGTTAATTCACACAAGGTCATGCAACAACAGCCAGTGACTCTGTGCCAGTACATAGTACCATATTTTGTTATTTTACACTGTAAATAATATATATTGAATGCATGTCTCTGATTGTTTTCTGTGCTGCAGTGAACGGTCAGCTTGTGGCTTCACCATGTTAATGTGGCTTTAAATTTGATAGATCCTACCAATCATTTTTCCTAAAATTGACTGCCAGTTTATATGCCCTGCAACATGTATACAAAAACCCTTGTCACCATAGCTAGTCTAGAGTTTGACAGTGTATACCTTTGCAGATGTGGTAGATGCAAAGTGTTTTACTCATATGCAGTGCATTTCTTGTACTAATGCTGACATCAAGATATGTACTGTTGGGGGCTGGAGAGATGGCTCAGAGGTTAAGAGCACTGGCTGTTCTTCCAGAGGACCTGAGTTCAATTCCCAGCACCCACATGGTGGCTCACAGCCATCTGTAATGAGATCTGGTGTCCTAGCCAGGAGGGATAAATGAAGACAGAACACTGTATACATAATAAATAAATAAATATTTTTAAAAAGATATGTACTGTTTCTTTAGTGCACGCTGTGAGTTTCCCAGCTCACCCCAAATCCTGTCTTACCCTCCCCACTGTCCATTTGACTCCTCACAAGCAGAGATCTAGAAATGCCCTTAGCCACTAATATCACTTATGACTCTTAGGCAGAGTTCCCTGGGTTTCCAGCAGAGCCCCTCCTATGGGAGAGAATGCTCTGGTTTTGTTTCTTTCTATATTAGTTACTTTTCTATTGCTGTGTTAAAGCAGCATGGCCATTGCAACTTAGAGAAGAATGGGTTTGTTGGGGCTTACAGTTCCAGAGGCATGAATCTGTCTTAGCAGGATGGTGTGGCTACAGTGAGCTGCAGACATGCTGGCAGGAGCAGGAAGCTGAGGGCTCACATCTTGAATCACAAGCAGAGTTCTCAAGGCCAAGTGACACACTTCCTCCACCAAGGCCACACCTAGACTTCCCAAACTGCACCATTAATTGGGTGTCAAGTATTCAAATGCCCCCGATGATGGGACACCTTCAAAACACCACAATTCCCTTTCCGGCTTTTCCTACTGTCTCTCCAGTCTTCCTTATCTGCTGTATTACCTTTTCATTACTGTGACAAAGTACCAGAGATCAGTTTAGAGTAGAGAATGTAGGAAAAATTAGTTTGACTCATGGCTTCAGAAGTTTTATTCCATGGTTTTGGCTGGCTGCATCGATGGTCAGCCCCTGCCAAGGCTGGAACATCATGGGAGAAAGGCATCGTCAAGGAATTTTGTTTATCTTCTGGTGAGCAGGAAGCAGAAAGATAAAGGAAGGATTCGGGGATAATCTACACCCTTCAAATACAAACTCCCAATGACTGTCCATCTAGGCTCCACCGCGCCTAGCAGTGCAGACAACTCTGAACTCATCAGTGGATTGATGAGGTTAGTGCTACCAGTATCTCATCTTTTAGCAATAATACCTCCAGTCAGATACCAAGCCCTCAGCACGGGAACTTTCAGGAGACATCCCATAGCTAAACCCATCATGCACTTCCTTGATTATGATTAGGAAATCCTTTCCAATGATGATACATGAGTTCCTGTGTCAGGGATTGCTTCTGGAAAGCTGGTCTATGATATTCAGATATCCAGAATGTGCAACAGGTACTTACAAGTGGATTTTAAAAAGGGGGGGGGCAGCAATAATACGTGAAAGAAAAAGCTGGGTGTGACAATTCATTTATAACTCTATTATTAATCAGCAGTTTAGGCAATTACACACTATTTTACTTCTAATAAACTCCAAAATTCAAAAGGCTAGTAACATTAGTTGCTGGCTAGAATGTAGAGAAACAGGAATACTCACTTCGATGTTGTTATTTCCAGTATTAAAATGTATGACTTAAACTTTGCAAGATGGTGCACATCCTAATTCCCAGTGCTCAGGAGGCAGAGAGCCTGAGGCCTATGTGGTCTACAGAGTAAGTTCCAGGACAGCCAGAGTTACACAGAGAAGCCTTGCTTTAAAAAAAAAGAAAGAAAGAAAAAACTTGCTTTTTTAGGTCTCCTTTTTTCCTTGGGAAACTTGATCTTTTAAACTATGATGAAATACTGTGTGGACATGAAATGAAGGCTCCTGACAAGTTTTTGAGCATTCCACTGGGAGCATATTTGAAGGATCTTTCCATGCACTGGCGGGCTGGCATCTACCTTCTTCACAGTAAACATGTTCATTAAATGTATTAGAATGAATATAGGATCAATATCAGAAACCTTAGCCCTTCAGAGGAGTTTCTGGTCACATGAGTGAGACAGATCTGTGAACTGTGTTCCTGGAACACAGCCAGTCAGCCTGGTATACTCTGGTTTGTGAACTGTGTTTCCAGAACACAGTCAGCCTGGTATACTCAGGTCTTAAAGCAAAACTCACACCTAAAACTGTCTCAAATGTGCCAGATTTCAGCATCCGCTGGGTACAGTTAAGAAGCTCCCACACATTTACACTGAACTCAAGACAGCACATAGATACATGTACCTAACTCTCTTCCCAGGAAGGCATGGTGGACTTGGACCTGACTGCAGTGGCAATGGAATGAAGAAAAGACAAACATACAGAAAAGCTGGGACCAGGTGGACTTGGCTCTTTACTGGAAAAGAACCATAACAGCCCCAGAGCCATTTGCAGCATTGAGTTGAACAGAGGCAAGAGTTGTTATTGCCTACAGTTGAGCAAGGAGGGGGGTCCATGGGCTACATCTGGGAAAGGAGACAGGTTTAGCTAATTTTGGTGGGAGCCATCGTCAGGTGATAAATATCCAGGGCAGAAAGCCATGGTGGGCATTTTCTGCACACACTGTCAACACCTGTACTTGAACTCCAGAGAAAGACTGTGCTATCTACCTCTGGGTCCTTGTTAACAGCACACATTCACTTAGAACTTCATTCAGGGCTTCCTCTGCTCTCCACAGCATAGTTATGATAAGAAAATAAATTTCTTTACAGAGGAGTGAGTTTTCTTTAGCTTTGTATTTTCC